GTTTCAGACTCAACAAACAGTAAAACCTGATCAGGATCTAAGAGTCCAGATCTCATCCTGATCCAGTTTTCATTGCTTCCTTTTTCCTTCTGGAGATCCAGACTTTATGAAGCTTTTTCAGGCATAAAAAACTGACTTTTGTTGTTTTATTTTTATTTCTAATTCAGAAGCTTTTTTAGGTGAATGTTTACTTTCTGCTTCTTAAACTCAGGGACAGAACAGTGTCGACAGAAACACCCAACTGACCAAAGTTTAAATGGGATCAGCAGAGATGAGAAAGCAGAACAGAATCAGGACCTTTGTGTTTTTGCTGAAGGTCCTGATTAACGACCGATCAGGTCTGATAACTGATAACTTCAACACAAACGTGTTGTTTAGTGACGTCTGTTTGCTCCACCTGTGTTTTCTCCTTTAATCACTCTTCAGTTTCATTTCTTCCTGTTTTCATGGCTCATCTTTTGTTTGAAGGTCTTCAAGTCTCTGATGTGAGTTTGTTTCTGTTCACAGCATTGATGGACACTTTGTGTATCCCTGTAAAAGTGTCAAGTGCCCAGAGACCCGGTGAGTGACCGACACCTACTGGGTGGGACCTGATCATTGATCTGGGTCCTGATGCATCTCAGTAATCCAAGTAGGAAAAAACCAGTTAAATAGGTCCTGTGGACGGGTTCTTCTTTAATGAAACGTTCTTCAGTCTGAGGAGTTCCAGGTGAACTCTGCCTCCACATGGTGACAATCAACACTCCCTGTTTGATGTAAAGTGGACCCTGAAAAACTGCTCAAAAATTATTAAACATAGGAGCTTCAGATTTTGATGAAGCTCTATCTATCAGGTCAACCCTCGGACCCCAAATTTATCTGAAAAAGGGGTGTCTGATATGTAAAAACGGCTATAGCTCAAAAACCATTAAACATAGGAGCTTCAGATTTCTTTTGTTGTTTAGCTCTGATGAGGGGCTATCCATTAGGTCAACCAACACCCACCCCCCCAAAAAAGTCCCCCACCCAAACCACTACAGTCTTGGGATGCACCTTGCACAAGCATTGTGTTCCATGTGGCCCTCGGATTCAAGAGGAGCAGTGTGGTTTTGGTCCTGGTCGTGGAACACTGGACCAGCTCTACACCCTCAGCAGGGTCCTGGAGG